AAAATCCATTAATTTCAGTTCAGTATGGTACGATGTGCCACAGGGTGTCAAGGACGAAGAGAATAATATACATTCAATTTTCGTAACTCTGATACTTGGACAGAAAAAATCTGGAGCAAAAAATAAGGATGATAATTTCTTAAAATATTTCACCAGGATTCAGGAGACCTCAGTAACTGCTTCCATTTCATGTTTTCCTTCTGAAACTATTCCATTTTCTAGGGGGTTGGCCAAAAGAATTTATTTATTAGAAGTGGTTCTTCTAGAATGGAGAATGGCTATGGGTCCCTAGAAGCTTGCAAATTAAGCTGGAAGGAAATAAGATACGATTTCATCATAGCTGGACTATAGTTTGGTATGATATATTAGTATGTAGTTTTGCAGGAAGTCATGTGTCTTTAGATATCCCTGAAAATTATTATTCTCATAGAAACATGATTCTCCATAATAGGTGTTTTAATCTATAATCCTGGTATGTAATATAAAGGTAAAGTAAAATGATGAAAAAAATTCTTAGTTCACTTGTATGCTTTACAGTTTTATATTCTTATATTTATATCTCTTAAGGGCAAAAATCACTTGTTACTCATATGAAAATGAATATGATAGTAAGTGTGCTGTTGAAGAGTCATTACTGCCTCTGACTTCTGGTTATGATTCTTTTTTCCTCCTGTCACCATACTGAAACTCTGCAGAAGCAATGCAAAGAATGGAGAAAAGTATAATAGAAGGGGAGGGGAAGGGTGTCACTTTTTGAAAGCTGATCAGCTAACTCCATCACATGAAGTTTGAAGTTCAAAAGTGTTTGAAGGAAAGCATACTTATCTTCCAGGCATGAATACAATGATAACAATTTTGGCCCTACACTTTCATAATATCGTTAAGGTAGTTGTAGAAAGTTCTAAGGTCAAAGTGTGACAGATAATAGCCAGCTCTTTTAGGACAGTTCCTGAGGCTGAATTCCATGCTTATCCAATACTTTAAAAAGTGTCATTGATACTTGACATGCAAAGATTTGAAAAGCCCGACTGGTTTTAAAATCAACAATATCATTAAGCTACACAGGACTCAACACTGCCATTGCTTTTCAATCTGAGAATTTAAAATTCAACTTGGAAAAAGTGTCCTAAAGAATCAAAACTAAAGTAAAATAAAATAAAGCAAATCTAACATATGTAGACATCTTAAACTATCTACAAATACATTGCTATTAATTTTTTCTTCTATTTACTTAAAAAAAAAAAAAGAAAGAAAGAAAGAAAGAAAAAAATGTTTGCTAAAATTCTACCTCATATCTTGCTTTTGAACTCAAAGTAAACATAAAACAATTCAGCCCGAAGAAATATCCAGATCTGAAGCGTACTGGTCATAGTGCTCATATCAACATTCACTAAAAATCTGCACAATCAAGTTCTATAACCAGATTTAAGAACACAGAAGCATTTACATTTACATTTTTTTACTATCCAAACCAACCTGTAAGCTGTGGAATATAAAAGGGATTTGTTCTTTACAAAAGAGCAATAGAGGCCCTACAACATACAACCAATCCTCCATAAACAAAATATAAAACAGGAATAAGTTTCTGTTACCTACAACCCATATAACAGCAGTTTAAATTTTGGTCCAGATAGTGAGAATTCCAAGATTCTAATTAATTCTCATTTTGTCTGCCTCAAACTTACAGAAGGTCAATATTTTAAAAACAAAAGCTAGAATAATAAAAAACTACAAACATTTTTGTGATCATGCACAAGAGCATTACCCCATGTCTCTGGCAACCTTGCAGCAAAATTAGCTGAGTAGGTCCAAATTATACTGATAATAAATTTTCTCACTGCATAGCCTGGGAAGAGAGATGAAGAAAACGAACAAATGCAAAATGAGGAAAAGTGAGAAAGGAGAGAGATGGAGGGAGAGTAAATATATATTAGAGACAAGGAAGCTTTTAATAACACTGTTCCCTGAGCTTGAGTTTGTTCTTTCCTTTTGTTCATAAAGCTTTATAAACTATGAACTGACAGAGAAGAATCACTATATTTTTTCAAGGAAGTTTTATAACTTTTATTATCATTTGCAAAATCCAATAGATATGTAGGACTCAATACAAAACAAATGGATATCAGATTCTATCTTAAGTATATATGGAATTACAGATGGAAATACAGAAAAAAAAAAATAATAATAAGTTTAGCACAGCATATCTAAGCCCACATTTAATATCTTCCATGGAGTAGCATTGTTTTCAGTGCAAGCTGATGACATTCATTTGGATATTATACTAACTCTTGCATTGGTATATAAGAAATCATAATTTTGTGTCCAGATAAATGGCAATGTAGAACATGTAAATCCTAACAACACGTTACTGCTTTGGATGCTTTCTAGTAGCTTTGGAAGCAGCACCTAAGCAAGCATCATCATAAAACTCACAAACTGTTTAGAAGGATATACATGTAAACCTACTGACAATATTTCATTTGAAGAGAGGAGACTTAAAATGGCTCAATTTCAAATTCAGCTAATTATATCTTGTGCAAATCAGACAGATGAGAAAATTATCTATCACTTTACTTTTAAAAAGCTTAAATATTTTTTCACTATTTACTCACAACACTGGAAGAAGGTGTCATTTCCAGGCTGAGACGATTCAAGTATAGTACATTCTTTTGGGAAAGATGCTCCCATTATCGGTTAGAGAAATTAATTTATAAAAGGAAGTCTAACAGTTAACTACTCTTATTTACTCAAAGGAACCAATAGCATAAGATTATGTTGGTAGAACACCAGCCCTACTAAAGTAAAGTTACTTTCAAAGCTTAATTGATACCAATTACAATAAATTTCTTTCCTTGACTGAAGCAAAATGTGCTGAACTTTCCCAGTACTCAGACAAAAGCATACTGATTTGATACTTTTTCCATAGGTCTTGAAATTCATCACTTGACTCCTCTAGTAGTTCTGCTTTAATGTGACATGCTGGGAAAGTTACAATAGTGAATCATATTAGCTATTTTTTTAGCATTATTTTGGAATGCAGTCTGGGTTTACAGTCTTAAATAAACAAGCATTGGGTCATTTCAAAAATAAATTCTACTGCTCTGTTACTTTTGTCCAATTTAGAATGAGATAGAAAATATGTGGATTGAAAAAAAAAAAAAAAAAAAAAAAAGAAGAAAGAAAGAAAAAAAAGATCGAGGAGTTATGCCCTTTCGTTCTTAAAATGTACTTTTTGGCAGTGAAAGAATCCAACTGAAAAAAGGCTTTCTTTTAATCTGGGGGCCAATTTAAATGTCTGCACTTAAATTTAGTGCGTAGGTTAATGTCCCTCCAATTGGATCTCAATTACATACACTCCAGTTCTTGCATTTAGATCATTGTACTCCTTAACAAATCAATAAATAATTTAGCTCCCTGGGGAATAAACTATTAAAGCAAAATCCAGTGGACTTTAAGAGAGGGGTGTTTGAACTTTCTAAATTATATTGGAAGTCTTTCAATAGTTATTGTGTAAAGCTAGTACAAAATTATGCTGGTAATGATACTGTCTTGCAGCTACAGTGACATCACTCACTCATTTTGCCATTACAAGACATTCTCTTATCATTTATTTTTACTTTACAGTTTATTTTGGTTAATGCAAATGAAATAGTATTGCTCACAATTTTTCTCAGCTTGAGTGAATGCTCTTTTACTTTGCACCAGCCAAGTATCTTTATTTATTCATGATTCCTCCCCAAGAAAGCTGGGTGTCACAGAGGCTCCTTTTGAGGGCTGTGATATCACTGTCCCATATGGAGCACAATGGCCCCATGTTACCTGTGACAGATCTACAAACCCTTACAATGAAATACAGCTCTGAGGAGGTGAGCATAAGTGCTCAAGACTTAGAGAAGAGTACAGGAAGTGACCATAATTATGGTAAAGGAAGACTAATTTATCTCAAGACAAAGTGGACTGCAGGGTGGTCTTTGTTTTAGGTGATGGTTATATCAGTTGGATGAATCAACTGGTTCTATAAATGGCTTTCACATAGATAACCAATAGAGAGTATTCTCTTCCTGAGCCAGTCAGATCAGTATGGGGGAAGCGTATATGTGCAGCATAGAATAAGAAAACTGTCAAACAATGAAATGAACTTTGAAGAGAACCAAGGGCTTTAAACCACATAACCTTTTCCAGCAACGTGGGATGCCCAGCATCACGACAATGAGTACATAGAGACCAGTAACAGGAATTACATTTGTATTATGATCCAACTGCATGTCACAGTTGTTATATTCCATATGTATTTTTATTTCAGTACACTTCTGTAACACTCTTGTAAATCAAAATCCAGTGTAATGTCAGATTATCTCAAAATAAATAAATTCTGAATTAAATGTCAAATCCTCATTCTGTAAAATACCTAAAAGAACCTGGTCAGATAGTATTAGACTCTGACACTGCTAAACCTCACTGACTTACTGTTCCAGAGCAGTTTCTAGCATGGTTCCCCTTGATGGGATAAGAGGCAAAGAGGACAAATTTAAAAAAACAAAAAACAAAAAACAAAAAATGACAACATGACATTCCATATGAACACAAGAAAACACCTTTTACAAAGTGGGTGGTAAAACACTGGAACAGGTTGCCCAGAGACGTTGTGGAACCTCCATACTTGGAGATATTCAGAACTGGAGTGAACATAGCTGAGAACAAATTGCTCTTGCTCTTGCTCAGAGTTGGATTAGATGTCCTCAACAGGTCCCTACCAATTTAAAGGATTTAGTGATTAGGCACAACAGGCAATTCAAAGATGTGTTACAAAGTGAAAGGGAGTAACAAAAACAAAACTGTCAAAGGAGCAAGAGGTGTCCAAGGCTCTTCATCTTGGCAAAAGTCTTCTATAAAACCTCACTCTTATAATTTGCACTTTAGATATACGAATACAGATAATGAATACAAATAAGTACTAGTTGAAACATAAACTTAAGCCTAAAATGCGTGATATTTCACAGATTTGAAATGAAGCACTACGCAGATGCATGATACATCTGGATTACTCCTCAAGCCATTGAAGCAGCTCTGCTAAAACTCCTCAACAATTCAACAAAGATGAAATGCTCAAAGATGAGCATTGGAGATTGCATAAAATTCTGCAATACTGTTCTGTGAAACACAGGTAAGCCCCTAAATTGGGTAGTCACATAATTAATTCTGTATCACCAGCCTCCTGTGGAGTGTGATTAAAGTGTGCTCGGATACATGTTTCAGACTTCTCTGCGCAGCCCTTGTCTCCAGTACTGGGGACAGCTCAAGGTCCCTATTTGTGCCTACAGGTTATGACATCAAGATTCCAAACAACTTAAGTGACCGTAGCAGCACCCACATCAGAAGTTAAATTCTATTAAAAATGACACCACACAAGCAAGTGTTAGGAAAAATAGATAAGTGTGACAAATTGGATTCACTCCTGGCAAGATAAGACATGCTTCACCTTTTGCCAATGACTGGTCTGAGGAAGGAATTGTGATGCAGCTTGATGATCTGTCAGGGGATATTGAGTGATGAGAATAAGATAAATATTTAATGGAAGCAAAATAATCAAACCAATGAACAAACAAATATATAAAATCTACACATTTTAGGAAAAAAAAAATATTATAGAATATAGTGACTGCAAAATTGCTGTCTTCAGCACAAATAAACTTTACTGTTATGTCAGAAACTTGAATTCTGACAGCAGAGCATAGTTACAGACCACAGCGTCTATCTGTAATCATTGATGAATTTTCAATATCCTAGTTTCAGACTACTCCATACCCAGAAAAATTCTGAGACCATCAGTTTGCCTTGCTATGGCATCAAAGTCATACTGCATGTTGCAAAGGCAACTGGCATATTTACTTTCTCTAATTCATATGGCTGAAGAAGCTTGTTAAAATTTTCAGTACTAATCTGTGTTTCTGAGACTGATGCCCACCATACCTATACTATTGTCTATTTAACAGGAGAGATAAAACACTTGTGTAACTAGGGCCAGCCATGAGCAAGATGAAGACACTTCCCAGGCCAACTGAAGAGAGTAGAGTTTTTTATTAGTGGTTATATCTAAAGAAGAGTTAAGTATAGTGCTTGGAAACTACAGACTACAAGGGACTGACTGTAGATATGAACTTTAAACAAGAGGTAGAAGTTTCACCTTTGTTGTGGCAAATATTTCCAAGAACTTTCTTCTGAACTTATAAATAACTGACTTCCTTCTGTTCAACTTTCACTGGCTGTTCTCCTTTCCAAGGCTGATTGTGTCTATGTGCTGCAGTTGTTAACTGCTCTTGCCTCAGTCCCTATGGAAATGGAAATAAATCTGAGATGATACTGAAAGGTTGCTAGGAAACAGACTGATGATGATGAGGAGGAGACCAGTCTCCTGGCCTCTTTTCAGGGTATTTCCCTGCTGTTTGTTGATCAAGATCACCACTGATGATTTGCCAATTCCAGGTGCTACTACAGAATTCTATTAATAAATAGATCAGGATTACTTTTTTTTTTATACCTGTGCTTAGTCAGGCAAATGCAAAATTTTCTTTCTGACAAGATTTTGAAGCCTTTTCCAACAAAGCTGAAGTGCACTGTACATGGAACTACTCTTAAAATTCATTTAAACTCAGGCTGATGCAGAATGCAACAACTTATTTGACAAGTTAATACATTTATTATATTTTTTATATCTCTTTATAGCTTAGTCACAATGAATATTTGAGTGCCTTCCAGTAGTGTGTTAAGCAATGTGACTAATGCTTGTTACATGTTTATTCTTTCATTCCTCTCCCCAGGGGAAGATATGTCTACTGTGCAATGTTTTGTTTTACAATATACAATGCTTGTCTGACTGTTCATCCAAATGTTTATGTTACAGAAGGAAAGGTTAAGAAAATCCAATTTGCACGTGGAAAAGGAAGTGGCACTCAAACTTGTTCCACCTGCAGAAGTTGATTTCTCAGTCCCAGACTGGCCCCAGCAAAAGCACTCATTTCTGTTTAATAAGATTTACCCTCCCTGCAAAGGTTTCTGTTTTCCAGTAAAACAAAGTCAACAGTCACTATTTTCATTTGGGGACTTCAGTTTAGATACTCTGAACTCTGGCCACAAAAAGACTTTGAAAAACCCTACAACTTTGAATATGATTCAGTAGTTGATGAGAATGGAAATGATACTGCAGAAACAACAGTACTTGGAAGAGCTCAAAATTCATCACAGCTCACAATTTTCTTACCAGAAAGACAGTTCCTTCTGTCATACAATGTTGTTGTAACCTGTAAAGGCACTGAAACCAGGAATCTGGTCAAAGGTGAGTTTCTGATGGTATACGCTTCAGGAGAAATGCTTATTTATGCAGGAAGCTTCTGAATATGAAAACCTAAGGATTGGTGGTATCTAGACCCCTATAGGAAAACCAGATTCCTGGAGAAAATAATAATTGGGAAAGAAAAGAAGGGATTTGTGGTGATGTATTTTTAAAGTAGAAAGCTTTGGAACATTATACTTTCTTTTTTACTAAATTTTCAGTACAATGTATAATTATTTAATAATGAATTGATTAATGTGATAAAATATGTCACTAGATTCTGATTTTAAACCTTTGCTCTGCTAAGTTTGTAGTGAACTGCAAACAATTTTGTAATAGGAAAGTATGAAAGAGATATTGATTTCAGTTTTATCCTTATTTTACATCTTCTCTATAAATAGCATTTTGCCATCAAATTGTTACTCCATGTTTTATGGTATTTTTATGCTTTAGTTGTATTACTGTCATTATTGTAGATTTTACATTTCAGAGAATATAGTGTTTTGGAAAGCAACAGAAATGGCTTTGCCAATACCAGGCAGTATCATAAAAGCTCTGGAAGGTATGTCATAGCTTGCTTTGTAGCAATCAATACCACATACTCAGTGTAGAACATCTGGAATGGCCACTAGGCTCAGGATTTGCATGTTCATGATATTCAAAGGGTTTGAACTGGTGTCAGAAACTTCAGAAAAATGAACTGTCTGCTTACAGCAATGAGTGGATCTCCAGTGAGAAACTTGGTTTGTTAATATACACATCCCTTTCAGATGTCTTTATTTGGACAACTCTTTTTTTTTCTTTGCAATTTGCAATATTTTTAAATCAAAAAGGAGAGTAATGGATTAAACTTGTTTTTTTTTTTCTAGTATTTTGAAGGGAAAAAGTGATGACTACTGTAAAAGAATATATTTTTTTCCTTTTATTTTCTGTTCTCCCTTTATACATTAATGGATATTAATTATAGTTTGATGGATCTCTGAAATACTTAACCTTCTGGAAGAGTATAAAAATAAACCTTTTGTCTATTATAGTCTACTACAGGGAAAAAGAAAAAAAAAGAAAAAAAAGAAAAAAAAAAGAAGCATTCTCCTTTTCAGTCCTGTGTTTAAAAATGTAATATCAATGGGATGTGTGTAGGCAGATTAAGATTCCTTTTCACATTCTCTTACACCATGAAATTTAATTTGATGTGAGTAAATGTTGCTAAGAAGGCAGCTTTTGTGATCTCACTAATTAAGTGTAAGAAATCTGATCCTGATTGCATTGATGATAGTGAATAACATCATTTAGTTTAGATCCAGATGGGACCCATGGTTTAATTAATGTTGCAAGCAGCCATAGGATTGAACAGAGGTGTTGAAAAGAGTTTACTCTAACTTTGGTGATACAAAGTTTGCCTCAGAAAAGCAAATTGCAAAAATGTGTATTTTGGAAAAAATGCAGAAGGAAAAGTCAAAATATGCTGTACTCTACCTTTAAAAAAGAAATCTAAGTTACTCCAGAAATCTACTACTGTTCCTTTCCTTAAATGACTATTCACTTCTCTGATACTCCTCGCACTCCTTTCTTAGATAAATGAAAATAAGTTTCTTTCAGATGTCTCCTATTTTTTTTAGCTCATTCCTATTAGTCATAGCAACATCAGTCTCAAAGGACTAATATCAGAAAAATCTATTTGTACTAGAGTCTACTTTATAACATGTGCTTTCAAAAACTTCCTAATAGCAGCCATTGTAAAATCTGTATAACACCTGGTACAGCTTTATTTTCCCTTTAGAAGGACCAGAAGAACTGGAATTGAAGATCACCTGTTTATTTGTCTACTATCTTTGGGTTTGACCCATTCCATGAAAAACCTTCCATTATATTTATCTGAGTTTGAAAAAAAAAAAAAAAAAAAAAGGTTTATTTTTCCTGTTTTCATCAGGCAACATTTGTATCTTAGTAAGTAAGAGTCTCCTTGGTCAAGCTCCCTCCACACATGCATCGAAATATCTGGTATCAATTTTGATCCCTTCTATTTATGTAAAATTTATTCTATCAGAAGAATGATGAGAAAAGCCTTACTGTGATGATCAGAAGAGGGTTGTTTGTTCTTGGGAAAAATTAAGAGGCCTATTAAAGAATAGAATGAGAGGATTTGTTATTACTTTTTACAAATATACCAGAACAAACATGCGAGTTAAAATAAATACCTTGAAGAATGATAAACAAATTGATAGTTTAGTGACTCAGTTCTACTAAGTACCTATTATATCTTTGATTCAAACTGCAAAACTTCTATTTTTCTGTTAATTAAGGTTCCAGACTCATTCTAAATTCAGATGAAAATTGGATTGCAACCTCAGACCTGACTCATGACCTTTTTCTATAAAAAAATCTTGTAAGGACTCAGTCAAACACTATTAGTTATAACATATTTTATGTTTTATTTTGTTACTAAACATACTAAATTATAAATCAAAAAAATTATTATTTTTCCGGCATATGTGTTTTGTCCTTTTCTCCTACACATTCATCAACATTAAAAAGAAATTCTGTGTTTCTAAAATAGGCAATGGACATGTTGTTCACTCTGAAAATAAAAACATATGCAACAAGTACTATGAAGGTATTTTTCAAATGAAATAGAAACCATACGAGAATGCTATAGCAATGATATGTTCCAAACAACAAACTCCTGTGAATCCTTGTAGAATGCAAACTCATAGAATGTGCTGTGTCAAACAGTCAAATAAAACTGGCATTCTGATATTTTTCTAACTTTCCAATTTTCACACTTTTTAATAGCAATGCAACTATTCGTGCATATAAGATTATTATATTTATTATTGAGTGCAGTGGTAATTGATATTACTGAACTGTTAGTGGAACATTTATTTATCCACTGATAACGTCTCAGTTAAAGACCTACACACAAAATAAATGGGATAGTTACCATCAATAGTTACAATGATGGGGACTTAATCTGTTACCTGTACCAAAAAAAAAAAAAAAAAAGTAATAAAAAGCAGTAAAAAGCTCTGTCACCATACATGTTGACTGCATCCAAACTTAGTATTAACTGTAAAAATATTTTATGGTATGTATGGGCATCACTTTCAATAAAAAAAGGCTGTGAACACAATTTTAAATTGCTGGCTAACAGCCAGCCAACTCTTTTTTTCAGTGCAGCTTCATCACACTACGGCTGTTCCTTGAACGTTCTTCAAAGTGTCACAGAATGTGATTTACCCCTGCCATATTTGATTTTGAATGTATGGCCCTGTAGAAGTTATGTTGAGTCAGATGCATTGAAGGATCACTTCTTTAAACTTGGAAAGATACAGAGAAAATATTGAGCTACTAAATATCACAATTAAGCAGGAAATACACATGCAACTAGAATACCTAAATTTATGTACCAATTACAAGCAGTGTTTGCATGCTTAATTGGCTTTCCTCAAAGGCTTACCTACCTCTTTTTATGCTCCCAATTATGCAGACAATTACTATTATTAGGCAAGCAGTACAGATGTATCTGTCAGAAAATTCTTGTAAATCTCAGAAAGTAGTTTTGAAGTGGTAGACTTTTTACTTCCAGTCTCAGACAGGAGGCTCTGAAGGTTTGGAAGAATAAATATCCTCTCCTATGTCATGTGTCTGTTATGGAATTTGGGATCTTCAAATAAATAAATAAATAAATAAATAAATAAATAAATAAATACTGCATTGAAATCAATGGAAACTTTATAACTTCCTCCCTGTCTCTCCAGCAGCAACATTCTGCAGGAGAACGCTCTGAAAAATGAGTAATAAACATACCATTTTTTTTTTTGGTGTTAGCTTTTGTTGATCTTTATGCTATAATAAGTTTATGAGACCTGAGTACTAAAGGGGTTAGTTGGTCTTATCGCTGGACCTCTCTCAACAAAGTTCTTGGGAAGTCTGGGGAAGTCCCTGCTGACTGAAAGTTAGGCAATATTATACCAATTTACAAGAAGAGCCTGAGGAAAGACCCAGGAAACTACAGACCTGTTATGATCTAATCTCTATACCTGGAAAAGTATTGAGAACATTATGTAAGCTACTGAAAGTTACCTGAAGAACAAAGCTATTATCAAGCACAGTCAACATAGGTTCATGAAGGGAAAATCCTGCCTTAGTAATTTGATCACCTTCTATGATAATGCCACCTGTTTGTTGGATGACGGGAAGGCAAGGGATGTAATATATATACATGTATATATATATTTTTGACCTTTGATGCCATTCCTTATGGTATCCTGAACAAATTGTCCAACTATGAGATAAACAGGTCCATGCTACACTGGATGATGTGTTGGCTCAATGATAGAGCTCAAAGGGTTGTAGTGAACGGGGCTATATCTAGCTGTCAGCCAGTCACTAACAGTGTTCCCCAGACATCAATTCTAGGGTTAGTTCTGTTCAACATTTTTATCAATAATCTGGATGCAGGAGTGGAATGAGTCTCAGCAAGTTTGCTGATGATAGTAAACTGGGAGATACTGTTAGGTACTGGAGGGATGAGAGGCCTTGCAGAGGGATCTAGATAGACTGAAGTGTTGAGCAATCATCAATGGCATGAAACTCAGCAAAGGAAAATGCTGGCTTCTTCACCTGGTACACAGTAATGTTGGACATAGGCACAGACTGGGAGATGAATGGCTGGAGAGCACCTCATCAGAAAGGGATCTGGGGGTGATAGCTGACAGCAGGCTTAACCTGAGTCAGTATTGTGACCTGGCAGCCAGGAGGGCAAACTGTATTTTGGAATGCATTTAAACACACCACAGCCAAAAAAGAGGTCAAAAGAGGTGATTCTCCTGCTAGAGAGCATTGGTGTGGCCTCACCTTGGTTATATTGTACAGTTCTGGTCTCCACAATATTAAAAGGGTATTAAGATACTTGAAATCAGCCAGAGGAGGATAACAAAGCTTTTAAAAGGGCTGGAAGGAGAGGGTGAAGACACCTGGGTTGTCTAATCATCCCAGGCAATAACACAAAAAAAAAATCGAGACAAACAGTAGGTCTGTTTGACATCATCAGCAACCCCCTGCAGAGAGCCACCAAGAAAATCAAGGGGCTGGAGCACTTCTATGAGAAGCTGAGAGAGACAGAACTGTAGAGCCTTGAAAGGAAAAGGCTCAGAAAAGCTCTTATAAAGGTGTATATAATACCTGAAGGGAGAATGCAATAAAGACAGAACCAGGCTCTTTTCATTGGTGCCCAGCACCAGCAAAAGAGGCAATAGGCAAAACTGGAACACAGGAGGTTCCCTCTAAACATCAGGAAGCACTTCTATACTGTGCAGGTGAGTGAGCCCTGGAACAGATTGCCCAATGTGGTTGTGGAGTCTCCCTCCTTGGAGCTATATGGACATGGTCCTGGGCAACCTGCTCTAGGTGTCCCTGCTTGAGCAAGGGGCTTGGACTAGATGACCTCCAGAGGTCTCTTCGAACGTCAAGTGTTTTGTGATTCTGTGATCATGTCACAGAATGAGAAAGAATAAGAAGGTTGAGTTAGAAACAGTGAGTTTGTATTTGTGTGTATGTGTTCCGTTTCATTATTTCTTCCTCTCCCAATCCTTCCCATTGTCATTCCCTGCTAAATACTTCTTCAAGTAATACTTCAGTCTCATTCTTGCTGTAAAAAGACCAAATCATCAGCAGAAGAATGTCTGCTTCTCTGGTGAGTCAGAGTCAAATTCCCTTTTTGGTTCCTATCATCCCCAAAACATGTTTTGACCTTGTCCTTCTCCAGTCTAGGCATCACACAGACTTCTGGTATGTGGGTGCATGTGGCTGTGCTCGTGAAAAGGACAAAAAATCATGTTTAGAATGAAATAAATACTGCAAGTCACTTGATAGCCTCATCCACCTCTCCTAACCACAAACCTCCATCCCCAGGAGATGTGTTTTGTATTATCCTATGTTATGCAGCCATCAGTTATATAGATGACGAAAGTTGTGGCCTTTGTGAGGTTGTTATTGACAAGTTTCACTTGATGAATAGATCTTATTTTTTGCCTCCCACGCCTGTTTCCAGGCACATAAAACACTACTTAACCTTCAGGGTATGTCACATATTCAGCTATGATTCTCTGTTAATTAGACACTGTTTGTATTTATAGGAATGCCCCTTTTTATTGGGTTTGAATATCTTTGCTTAAGCATGCTTTATGTAGCAATTATTGAATTTGAGTTCTCTGCAAACTAGCCATAATTCAGTTTCCTTTCTGTGCTTACATAGAATACTATTAGCAGCTTCTTTAGGTAAACAGAAAAATGTGTAAAATGTATCATTAGCTGAGATATAAAAAAAATGAAATGTTTCTGTAGAGTAACTAGTTTTGATTATGCCTGCTTTTCCCACACGTTTTTCAATCTATTTTCAGCTCTCTTCTCATAGGCACAAGGGATTCTGCACTATAATAGCTTCTTCCCTATCCTCAAAGGAAATAAAACTGATAACACCCTTTTCTATTAAGCAAGCAGAGAAGTCAGTATGCTGACAAGATGTTAATTTTTTTTTTTTTTTTTAAGTTTTCTCGTTTCCTTTTTTTTCTCACACTACTTCATTGTAGATAATTGGGCCTGTGTGTGTTTGTAGTTTTAAACCCAGACAGCAGTTGTATTGTCACTTGTTTTCCTCATCTAAAATATTTGTAAATTCATCCATTAACACTTCAAACATTCATATATATATATATATATATGACGTGGGATTATCATATATTTAGTTTTTATTCATTTAAAAAGATTATGCTGTGTTAATTCTTCAAAGGAATACCAAATCATTCAATTATGTCCTAAAATGTAGCTTTTTCTTGTTTTGGAGGAAAGCCAGTTTCCCAGTCTTTGCTTTCTGCCTCACTGTCCCTGTCCACTTATTCTAGTGGTCATGAAAAGAGTTTTTCTTTCATGACTGCTTCAACATTGAGTGTTCCTCTCTTGTTAAAAAAAGTCAAGCATTTCATACTAAAAACTAAACTGACATTTTTATTATAGTGTTGATTCTTCTGAGTGAGAAGACCTCAGACAAAGGAAGCTTGTACAAACAAGCTATTCACATGAGGTACTTGGTTTCTTGGGAATGGGAAAAGCTTTACCTATTGTCAGCTAGGGGCTGCAAAACAGAGCAAAACTGAATGCAGTAACAGCACCTCAGATTTCCCAAGCTGAAAGCAAGAGTGATCAGTTAACAACACTAACATTGACCCTTTATAGGTAGGAGATTATGAAGCTGAATATCAAACAATAAATAATAACATAGGTCAGGCTACATGATGCAATATTAGTTCTTAACTTTTAATGCTACCTTCATTTAAAAAAAGGAGAAAAAAAAAGGTACAGTGAATACTGAAAACGCCGTAATCACAGAAGGGACAGTAAATAGATCATTCCCTGCTATTAAGAATGCCATCAAGACTCAAATTGGGATGAAAAAAAAATAAATAATAATGTGTCTTTGGTAATAAATCAAGGTTTAGGAATTACCATGTTGCCTAATTCAATCTCCAAACAGTCTCCAACTAGAGCTAATTCATCTGTTCATTAAGGATTAAAAAGAAATTATATATGGCATTAAATAGCACTAGCAGACATTTTTTTTTGTTATTATTATTCATTAATTTGTTTGGACAGCATTAGTCCTTCACATTCAGATGCTGTTGCAAGGACCTGAAGGATGAAATCTGTCAGGGTTAATCAGGATCTCTTTGTCAGGAGATTTCCTTCCTATGCCCATGTCTATAGCCAGTCTAATGTTCCCTCAGTGCTCTCGAATGGGACTCAAGAATTATTAGCTACCTCCTCTCTGACAATGATGATACCCAAATCTAAGAATGAACAGTTTCAAAATTTGATCTGAGAGAGCACTATCTCTTCTTACTTAACTTTATCTGTGAAATTTTAGTTCCATTCCCTGCCAATGAAAATGAATACAAATAAAAATAACATAAAAAGTAGTTAACATAATATCTTTAGCATAAAAGAGTGTTCTTTGTTTTTTTGTTTGTTTTGTTTTGTTTTGTTTTCCCATTGAATAAGAGGAACAAGAATCTATAGGGAGGTAACTAGCATCTACTCATCATTTGATATTTGTAAGTGTCATCTCATAAACATCCTGCAATGCTGTCTAGCATATTTCTGATAAGTGGAGTATGTGTCAAATGTTGGAACAGAGGAAGGGAAGACTGACCTTTGGCTTTCTTTGGGAATGTAATGCCTTTCGTGTCATTTTTATTCCTTCACTGACAGTAGTACTTCCATATGTAGAATTGAGAACAATCTATTTCATCTTGCTTAATGATTAAATATAAAATAAGTATCCCCTGGAGCAGAAGCCAGGGTTTCCTCTTTTTATCTGACTATCCTATCTTAAATATAGAGTAAAACTGTCTTTTACTTATTCTTGATTATATGTATATCACTCTCTTTGCTGAACAATACTTTAACAGACAGCTAAAGGGATGGAACAAATGAGAATATCCCATGGGATACTCAAGAAGTGGGAAGGGCAAAGGAAAGTGGATTTCCCTCATTCAATAAGGTAGCTTGGGTGAGTCTGCCATAAAAATAAATAAATAAATAAAAATCAACATGACCACTTCTGCTGCCAGCCATTGGCTTCCTTTTTTCTCAAGCATGGTCCAGCTCAGTCTTTTC